GCTTTTATTATGTTGAGGTATTATCCTTCTATTCTGACCTTGTTGAGAGGTTTTTTTTTTTTTTTTTTTTTTTTTTTTTTTTTTTTTTTTTTTATCAGGAAAGGTTGTTAGATTTTGTCAAATGCTTTTTCTGCATCAATTGATATGACTATGTGATTTTTATCTCTCAATCAAATTATGTGATATATGACATGTATTGATTTGCAGATGTTGTACCATCCTTGTATTCCTGGAATAAATCCTACTTGGTGATGGTGTATGATCTTTGTGATGTTCTGCTGGAGCCGATTTGCTAGAATTTTGTTGAGGATTTTGGCATCTATGTTCATGAGGGATATTGGTCTGTAATTCTCTTTCATTGTGTTGTCTTTATCTGGTTTTGGTATTAGGGTGATGCTGGATTCATAGAAGGAGCTTGGAAGTGTTCCTTCCTCTTGAATTTTTTTGGAATAGTCTGAGGAGGATAGGTTTTAGTTCTTCCTTGAATGTTTGGTAAGTCTCCTGTGAAGCCATCTGGCCCGGGGCTTTTGTTTGCTGGCAGCTTTTTGATGACTGCTTCAATTTCTTCTGAAGTCACTGGCCTATTGAAATTTTTAGATTCTTCCTGAATTTTTTTTTTACCAGAGTTATATTCTTTTTATATTATTTGTTTACCAGAGTTATATTCTTTTTATAATATTTGTTTACCAGAGTTATATTCTTTTTAAGACTGATTTTATTTATTACTGATCTTTCTTTTCTTTTCTTTTTTTTTTAATAAGTATATTTTATTGATTTTTAACAGAGAGAAAGGGAGAGAGACAGAGAGCCAGAAATGTCAATGAGAGAGAAACATCAACCAGCTGCCTCTTGCACACCCCCTACCGGGGATGTGCCCGCAACCAAGGTACAACCCTTGACCGGAATCGAACCTGGGACCCTTCATTCCGCCCACTGACACTCCACTACTGAGCCAAACCGGCTTCGGACAGAGTTATATCTTCTTGTTGAATTGCTCCCTTTAGTATTATGAAACGGCCTTTATTATCTCTTGTATGTCCTTCACTTTGAGATCTAATTTGTAAGTATTGCTACCCCAGCTTTTTTTAAATGTCCATTTACCTGGAAAACCTTTTCTCATCCCTTCACCCTCAGTCTGTGTGCATCTTTTTTTCTTAGGTGGGTTACCTGTATACAGCAGATATATGTGTCTTATTTTTTTATCCAATCCGTTACTCTATGTCTTTTGATTGGGGGCATTTAATCCATTTAACATTTAAAGTTATTATTGATAGGTACTTATTTGTCACCATTTTTATTCTATACCCCTGTGTTCCTTCTTTACTTTTTATTCCTTCCTTCGTTCCTTCCTTCCTTCCTTCCTTCCTTCCTTCCTTCCTTCCTTCCTTCCTTCCCTCCCTCCTTCCTTCCTTCCTTCCTTCCTTCCTTCCTTCCTTCCTTCCTTCCTTCCTTCCTTCCTTCCTTCTTTCCTTCTTTCCTTCCTTCCTTCCTTCCTTCCTTCCTTCCTTCCTTCCTTCCTTCCTTCCTTCCTTCCTTCCTTCTTTCCTTCTTTCCTTCCTTCCTTCCTTCCTTCCTTCCTTCCTTCCTTCCTTCCTTCCTTCCTTCCCTCCCTCCCTCCCTCCTTCTTTCCTTCCTTCCTTCCTTCCTTCCTTCCTTCCTTCCTTCCTTCCTTCCTTCCTTCCTTCCTTCCTTCCTTCCTTCTTCTTTCTCCTCCTTCTTCTTTTTCCTCCTCCTCCTCCTCTTCCTTCTTCTTCTTCCTCCTCCTCCTCTTCCTCCTCCTCCTCCTCCTTCTCCCCCTCCTCCTCTCCCTCCTCTCCCTCTACCTCCTCCTAGCAGACCCTTTAGCCTTTCTTGCATTGATGATTTGGTGTTGATAAATTGCCTTTGTGTTTTTTTTTTGTTTGTTTTTGTTTTTTTGTCAGTGAAGCTCCTGATTTCATCTTCAATTTTGATTGATAGCCTTGCTGGGTATAGTATTTTTTGACTCAGACCCTTCCTTTGCATGACTTTGTATATTTCATTGCATTCCCTTCTGGCCTGATGAGTTTCTATTGAGAAATCAGTTGCTAGTCTGATGGGGGTTCCTCTGTATGTAACTTTCTGTTCCTTTGTATGTAACTTTCTGTTTCTCTCTGGCTGCTTTTAAGATTCTTACTTTGTCGTTGGTGTTTTCCAATTTAATTGTAATGTGCCTTGGCATCGGTCTTTTGGGGTTCATTTTTCTTGGGACTCTGTGAGCTTCTTGGATTTGTGTTTGTTTTTTTCTTGCCTATAGAAGGAAAGTTTCCTGTCATTATTTCTTCAAACAGGTTTTCTATCCCTTGCTCAGTTTCCTTTCCTTCTGGAACCCCTATTATGTTGAAGTTGTTTTGTTTTGTGTTGTCCCAAAGTTCCCTTAGGTTCTCCTCCTGCTTTTTAATTTTTTTTTTTCTAGAAGCTGCTCTACTTGGGTATTTTTTTCCATCTTGTCTTCTAGCTCACTGATGCGGTCCTCTGCTTCCTCTCTCTACTCTTGATGCTTTCTATTGGTTCTTTACTGCATTGATGTTATTTTTTCATTTCTTTTTGGTTCTCCTTCATTTCCTCTTGGTTCTTACTCATACTGTCAAATTTGTCTTCCATTCTTTTCAGCCACCTTGTGACCATTTCTCTGAATTCTTTCTTTGATAGGTTGCTTGCCTCCAATTTGTTTACTTCCTTTTCTGGTAATGCCTGCTTTTCTTTCATATGCGGGCTGTTTCTTTGTCTCCCCATGGTCTCTCTTCTCAGGATGTCTGTTTATGTAGTTCTCTCTCTTCTTTGTTGATTTAAAGGCACAAAATACAACACAACCGGGTACAATATACAAGGTACTTAACAGAAATGTATTCACAATATTAATAACATCCAATAAAGGTGACCAACAGAGAAAGTTAAATAAGGGATAGGAGAGAAAGAAGAAGATTAAAAAAGAATACAGAAAATAAAAGAAAAAAGGGGAGTGTTAAAATGAAATTGGGATACAAGGGGAATAAAGTGAGAAAAGAATGAGACTAAGAAAGTAAAGGGGAACAAACCATGTATATATGGAGAAAACTCCAATAGAACAACAACTATTCCCAGAAAATGCCAGCAACAAGTATCTGGAGATTAATATAAACTACAATACCAATTAATATGAAGCGACATAAGGGAAAATAGAAGTAAAAACAAACAAACAAACAAAATAATTAAAACAATCTCATGATAAAGCATAAAAATTCGGTTTATTCAACATTCAAGCAAACAACAACAAAAGGACTGAGAGAAAAACAATTTTTGGATAGTTAAGACAATGAAGAGAAAGGTGTGTATGGACTTGGAGCAGGGGATTGGAAATTATTGTATATAAGTAGGGTGAATTTTTAGGAGGGAATAAATTAAAGAATAGGAAAAATCTAAAGAAGGAAAGGGTTAAGATAAATAGGACACCAAAAAGGGGAAGGGTTAGGAAGAGAGTGATGACATAAAGGTAGAGTTGAGATAGGGTAAGACCAAAGGAAAGATGAAAATAGAATGTAGAACACTAATCCGAAAATAAAATGAAGAATAAATAAAATGGCACTTAAAAAAAGAAATATGTAAAATAGCAGTAGTAATAATACTGATTGAAAATAAAAATGTAAAAATTAAAAAGGTAAAATCGAATGAGGAAAAAAGAAAAAAATAGTTTCTTAAGTAAAAGATGCAAAAAAATAAAATTAAAATAAAAAAATGTACAGTAGTGAAGGTCATTCACTTCCTCTATTGTTTTGTTTGGCACGCCTGTTTCCCAGTTAGGACAATATTGCAGTTCCCTGCATTCCACTGCTCCTCAGTATTGTAAGCCAGTCCTGATTTTTAAACAGGTGGTGTCTTAATTTCTCATATTCCTTTATTTTTTACCTCACCTTATCCCCAGCAAAATCTGACCTTCTGTGGTGGAGTGAAGAGCTCCCTTAAATCTGCATGTTTGCGCTGATTGGGGATAGGTGTTCTGGGGCTCCCAGCTTTTCAGTGGTTGCTGCAATTGTGAATTTTCAGGCTTTCAATAAGATCAACCTTCCCCTTCAAGATGGCGTGGTTTCCCTGTCTGAGCCCATAGCTCCAGGAAAGGACCAAGCTGCTGTGGCATCTTCCCAGTCAGGGGAACCCCGCCTTCTACTGGAGTTTATCTGTCCCTTAGCTTGCCAAAAAACACTCCCTGTGTGACCTTCAGCTGCTCCAGGACAAGGCTTGAAACACAACTGTCTATTCTTCCACCATTTTTCTCCCCTCATGATAGTCTTTTCATATATTTCTTGGCATTAATTTTGTATCCTGCTATATCACCAAACTCACTTATTAAGTCTAATAATTCACTATTGCATTCAGGTGAGAGTTGGGCTGGCTCAGAATGGGGCAAGGGCACCAATCACATGCCTAGTGAATAATTGCTTTTCTGAGAGGTCTTTTTAGTCTTTGGACTTGTGGTGTGGAAGCTGAGTTCAAGAGGATCCACACAGAAGCTCTTCAGGCTGTGCTTGGGGCCCCAGCACACCACTTTAACTGCATTCTATTGGTCAAAGCAGGTCACAAGTACAGACTAAGTAAAAGGAGAGTGCAAATAGACTGCCTTTTAATTGGAGGAGCTATATATATGCACAGGAAAGAATTATGATAGCCATCTTTGGATATGACTTAATTGGATAATTTATTACAATGTGGTCACATTCTAACAGAATCTAGGAAGGCTTCCGAAAGGTAATACTTAACCCTAATCTTAACTGTTTAAACAAATGAGAAAGGTAGGGAAGGGTATTCCAGTGTAGTGAATATTGTTGCTAGAAGCTCTGAAATGCAAAATAGCAGTGATTGAGGAACGTATAAAATAATAAGTAAAGTTAATAGTTATTATTCCATTCTTTTAAATGAGGATTATTTCTTCAGCTTGAGCACTTTTCCCCTAAAACCAACAATGATTTTATTCATTTATAAATTCTATTTCATTTCTTTCCTTGAAGGATTCAAGAGCCTATTTTCATCTGCTTGATCAGATTGCACCTAAAGGTGACAGGGATGATGGACCTGCCATTGCCATTGATCTTTCAGGATTTAATGTGAGTAGTTTTTAATTTTTAAAATTTTGTCTAAATAAGCTTAAGATAAATTTTACCATTTCAAGCATTTTAAATGTAAAATTCAGGGACATTAAATGCAATCATCAGCACTAACCATATCTAGCCGAAGCTGGTCTGGCTCAGTGGATAGAGCGTCAGCCTGCGGACTGAAGGGTCCCAGGTTCGATTCAGGTCAAGTACCTTGGTTGCGGGCATATCCCCAGTAGGAGGTGTGCAAGAGGTATCTGATCAATGTTTCTCTCTCATCGATGTTTCTAACTCTCTATCTCTCTCTCTTCCTCTCTGTAAAAAAATCAATAAAAATATATTTTTTAAAAAAAACAAAAACAAAACACTAACCATATCTAGAATTTTTCATCACCCCATAGTAAAATCTGTACCCAATAATAACTCCCCATTTTTCTCACCCCGAGTCCCAGAATTTGATGAGTGAGTATAGTCAAATTTAGAATACAATTCCCAATAGGCAACATTCCATGTGGAGTCCTCAGCCCTACATTAAAGCTTACTCTTCAGAACTCTTTTATGCCATCAGATCCAAATCTCCATTCTAAGTCATCTGGTTGTCATAAAGAAAGAGAATTGCAGAATTCCAATCTTGAGTATGTGTGGAATCAATTCTACTTTACTTTCCCTGGTGCAACACAACCGGAACTCACAGCATGTTTTTGTGACTATCATTGTACACTAGGAAAGGTAGCAACAAGCCATTTTGAGGTCACTGATCAATTAACTGATTATCAATTTTTTCCAACTTATATTTGTAAATACACAAAATAAAGGTTGACAGTTCCAGTATTTATGATACAGGAAGGGCTGATACAGACTCTGATCTATCTAACACAATTCCTAGGAAGCCCATTCTTTTAGCAAAAGTTTTAAATATTAGAGATGGTTCTATCTAAACATTAAAATCAGGTCAGACTATAGTTGGTATGAAAATCTATTAAGTATTTAAAGTATAATATCCACAATATTTAGTTTTAAAGGCAACTTAAGTCATCACTTAATTATATTTCATATTATTATAATGAAACATCTAAGAAACTTAGTATTATAAAACTACTAGAAGCCCAGTGCACAAAACTTGTTCACTGATAGGGCACCTAGATGCCAGTGGTACCAGCTGGGGCCTCCCTCCTTTCCCCCGGCTGGCCCCACTTCCTGGTAGAACTCCAGAAGAACTTCCAGTTGAGGGGATAATTTGCATACTACACTATTATTATATAGGATACAAATTAGCAAATTAGTTTGAGTCAAAATATTAGCAACTTAGAAAAGCATGTAAAATGTCAAACATATTCATAAGTGAACAGAGTATACTGAACTATCTATCTTGTGTCCATCCCCAAAGTTCCATAACTATTAGCTCATGGTCAATATTTTGTCACTTTTATCATCTGCCTATTTCCTTCCTCTCCCATATTATTTTGAAGCAAATCCTAGACATTATGTCTTTTATTTTATTTATTTACTAGAGGCCTGGTGCACGAAATTTGTGCCCTGGCAGGGGGAGGTATGTCCCTCAGCCCAGCCTGCATCTTCTCCAATTTGGGACCCCTTGAGTGATGTCCAACTGCTCGTTTAGGCCCGATCCTGGTGAGATTGGGCCTGAATGAGCAGTCGGACATTTCTCTCACAATCCAGGACTGCTAGCTCCGAAAGGTTCACCTGCCTGCCTGATTACCCTGAATTACTTCTGCCTGCCAGCCTTATCACTCCCTAACTACACCTCTGCCAGTCTGATTGATGCCTAACTGCTCCCCTGCCAACCTGGTTGCCCCTAATTGGCCTCCTTTGACATCCTGATTGCCCCTAACTGCCCTTCCCTGCAGGCCTGGCATCCATAAACTGCTCTCTCCTGCAGGCCTGGTCACCCCCAACTGTCCTCCCCTACAGGCCTGGTATCCACAACTGCCCTCCCCTGCAGACCATCTTGTGGTGACCATTTTGTGTCCACATTGGGTGGCCATCTTTGACCACGTGGGGGTGGCCATCTGTGTTTTGGAGTGATGGTCAATTTCCATATTACCTCTTTATTATATAGGATTTGTTTTTTTGTTTGTTTGTTTATATGTTAATCCTCTCCTGAGGATATTTTTCCATTGATTTTTTTAGAGAGGGGGAGGAAGAGAAGTGAGAGAGACATTGATGTGAGGGACACATTGATTGGGACACATTGCTTGCCTCTTTCATGCATCCTCCCCTGGTCAGATATTAAACCTGCAATTGAGGTATGTGCCCTTGACTGAGAATCAAACCTGCAACCCTGCAGTCCTTGGGATGACACTCTAACCACTGAGCAAACCAGCCAGGATGGATATCATATCTTTTCATCAATAAATATTTCAACGTGTATTTCTAAAATATAAAGACACTTTGATATGTCTCCAAGGGAAAGGGAAACACAGGAAAAATAAACAAACAAATGAGTTCACATCAGACTAAAAGTTTTCTTCACAACAAAGGAAACCATCAACAAAATGAAGAGAGAGCCCATTGTATGGGAGAGCATATTTGCCAATGATTCATCAGATAAGGGGTTAATCTCCAAAATATATAAAGAATCTATACAACTCAACACAAGGAATTTAAAAATGGGCAATGGGCCTTAGCCAGTTTGGATCAGTGGAGAGAGCATCAACTTGCAGACTGAAGGGTCCTGGTGCCACAGTATTTTTGCAGCAAGGGTTCAGGAATTTGGAGATGGGCTGCACATAAATGAACAGAGACTAGATAAGAAGTATAGATTTGGAAGGCATTTTGGGGGAGCCAAATGGAAACTTAACTCTAGTGACTAAGTTCCCCAAATCTCCAGATCCACGGCTTTTTATTAACATGTTTTCCCTTGAGCAAAGCAGATATTACATATCAAAGGTAAGGTTTAGAAAACAATAAAGGACCATTAGAGTAGGGCAGTGGTCGGCAAACCGCAGCTCACTAGCCACATATTCTAACGTCACTTCTTCTAACGTCACTTCTTCAAAATAGACTCGCTCAGGCCAAAACCCAACTTCTGCTCATGGGCCACGAAGTTTCAATCACACTGTATGTGATTGAATACCGCACGTGGTATTTTGTGGAAGAGCCACACTCAAGGGGCCAAAGAGGCACATGTGGCTCACAAGTCACAGTTTGCTGACCACTGGGTTAGGGGAATTACCCTCAGCTGTTTGGCAGCAGGTAATAATATGCAGATCTTCAGCCCTGCTGAAGCTGTTCATCAGTCTTCTGACAAACTTCTTGCATTTATTATGCTAACTACTGTACTTAGCTTCCAGCATATCCCCCTTTTTGATTTAATTAATTTAGCAAGAATGTACGCCATTTACAGAGCTCGGGTCCTTTTAATATTTTTATATTCAATGGGAAGGATTGAGTTCTTTCCTGTCCTTTTAAATTGCTGACAGGCATCAAAGGAATCCATCTGTAATAAGTTTCTTTCTGAGCCAACAGTTCTTTGAGTCCCCTTTCCAATCACTGTCTAACAGTTTTTTATGGGTTCCCTTCTCAATCACTGTCCCCTGTGACATGACAACAATGATACACTGCTATATGGGGCTGGAGTAGTCTGGTCAGTTCCTCTCTCAGATCCATTGTTGCAGGAATCCACATGGGTTTGGAGGAGTTTTCTGGAAATCTATAAGCATATTCTCAACCAAAGGTTAATAAAGGAATCCTTCTATAAACTAGACTCTGGATTTTTTCATTTTGACAAAGTATTTTCCTTTGGCTTATTCATTACAAGTGAAAAAATTTAAAGTAATTAAGGCTTGATGGAATTTTCTTATAGGATATTGCTCCACTATCTCCCTCCACCTCATTTAAAAAAATATTAAGAGGCTTTTGGAAATCCTGCAATGCAGCCTTGATAGCTTTTGATTTAATTCTTTCCCCAGAAGTATGACTTTTCTGGATTAATTGCTTGTTAAGCAGCTTTAACTGTGAAATGAACTATCGGTAAAAAATAGTTAATGCTCTAGAAACAGTTGCCTGCTTAGTATAATTAAATTTCCCTGAATATTCACTTATTTCAATTTGCCAATTTTAATCAGCCTAAAATAAGGCTTATTTTTCTAACTTCATTTGTCCTTGGGTATGGATAGTAAATGACACTAATTGAATTTCTACTATCAGTCTTTGAGTATATCTATATAAGCTTTGCTTAGTGAAGCAAAAATGCAAATTATTTACTTTTATTTTTGAGGCCTAATACATTAACTTTTAACTACAGTTTTTTACATATTTGAGGGACATTTCCCTTTGTTTTTTTCCTAGAGTAATTTCTAGGCCTCATAGGGAGTTTCTTTTAAAAACCTTTTTTCTTTCTTTTAAACTGAGCAATACATTTGGTTGCTTTTCAGATGCTGGCTCATACTGCCATGCATATATTTTAAGTGACTCTATTTATGTTGACTGATTAATGATCAAATTTAATGCTTGAATGATAACCTTCAGCTCATCCTATAAATAGTAACAGAAGAGATTTAAAAATTTCTCCTTTTTATTAAGCTTAAAATTTACTTTTAAACAGTATTCTTTTTGACTAGTGTTCATTTGCATACACAAAGTAATTATGGGAGGTCTCAGGAACTATTTCAGAGGACTTGCTTGTAGGGTGTATGTAAATTTTTACTTTGACCTTTACTAGAACCAATTGTTTATAAAAAATATTTGCTTCTCATATAACTTAATTTATATGAGACCTTGATTATATTATAGAAAGCCAATTTATTAAATAATTAAAATAGGCATCTTTATTGAAAAAGCAGAGCAAGTAAACTTATATATTTGACCTATGAGGTATAGAAGCCACCCTACTTCCCAGCCTATTTGAAGTGCAGGCTGCCTGAGGGCTTTTGTTTTTAAAATTCTGCTGCTAAATGATCTAGTTCTGCTTAAGAAATATTCAACTATCTTGTCTTGCCCTTCCTTAGAGGTTCAAACCTTTATAACATTTAAAATATATGTATATAAATAAAATATATTGAAATCCTACCTAATAAAAGAATAATATGCAAATTAATCAACACTCTGCTGCACCTACTAACCATGGCCACTAGCCAACTAGAGTGAGTATGCAAATAAACCCAACCAAGATACTTACAACCATAGAGAGCCAGAGGGAGGCTTGGGTTTCCCAGGCAATGGAGGAAGCTGAGCTTTACGCCTACCCTTGCTAGCCTAAGCCTCCACTCAAGGCTACAAAGTTTCAATTATAGAAGATAAACAAATTCAAACAGAAATGGGGCATCCATGGAGCTGGAAAGAATGGGAGGCTAGGGTTGCCCCTGGCAATGGAAAAAGCAAAGGTTTCTGCACACCTACAAAATTTCAGTTATAGAAGGTAAATAAATTCCAGATACCAGGGCTTCTGTTAGGGTTGCCAGGAGGCGTGGCTGGCCTGCAAACTACCATAGGCTCCTTGCCCAGGCTGCCCCACACCCTAAGGGAACCCCACTCTGATCCAGGACACCCTTCAGGGCAAACCATCTATTCCCCACCCATGCGTCAGTCCTCTATCCTATCTATAATAATAACAGAGTAATATGCAGATTGACCATCACCCCAACACACAATATGGCTGCCCCCATGTGGTCAAAGATCCTGGCCGTATGTGGACACAAGATGGCCACCACAAGATGGCCAGCAGGGGAGGGCAGTTGGGAGGGACCAGGCCTGCAAGGGAGGGAATTTGGGGGTGATCAACCCTGCAGGAAAGGGCAGTTAGAGGTGACCAGGCCAGCAGAGGAGGGAAGTTGGGGGCAAACAGGTTGGCAGGGGAGCAGTTAGACATCAATCAGGCTGGGAGTGGTTAGGGGGTGATCAAGCTGGCAGGCAGAAGTGATTAGGGGCAATCTGTAAGGCAGGCAGGTGAGCAGTTGGGATTCAGCAGTCCTGGAATGTGAGAGGATGTCGGACTGTCCGTTTAAGACATCCCTCAAGGGGTCCCATATTGGAGAGGGTGTAGCCTGGGCTGAGGGATACCACCCTGCCCCCATGCAAGAATTTCATGCACTGGGCCTCTAATTTTTTATAAAGCTTTTCACATGATTTCGAGTATAATTTAGTTTAAAAATATTTCTTTTAAGATGAGAGAATAAATTCTTGAATCACTCCAGGGCCCATGGAATGTTACAAAGTTATCTCTTGGTTAAAGTCTTGAAATTTAACTTGGAAAGATCATCAAGTATATATATATCAATTTTATAATTATTCTAAAATATAGCAATTACATTTAAACTGGTTTTTATATTTAAAATTTTGTTCAGACCACAGAATTAATCCTCCTTTTCTTTAATTAGACCTAGGTTGAAATATTACCACACATAAAGACTTCAATGTATTTTAAACTACTATTTCTCCAGAGAAAATACAAGAATTATTTTCTCAAAATAAATTTATATACTTTATGCATTTTGTCATACAGCTATATGATTTCTCCTAACTTAATTTGAACTTTAGACTCTTAGAAGCCTCAACTTTTAGGTGGCAAGTTAAATATTTATCATTTCTTAGATTAGCAATAACTTCATGTTGTTAAGAATGTATTTCAAATAAAATATAAGACATACTGAGAGATCCAAGATAAGACATACTGAGAGATCCAAGACAGTGGCAGGGGGTATAAGACATACTGAGAGATCCAAGACAGTGGCAGGGGGTAAGGGCATGGGGTAGGGTGGGGAATCAGATGGAGGGGAGCTATGATGGGGAAAAAAAAAAAGAGGAACACCTGTAATAATCTGAACAATAAAGATTTATTTAAAAAATAAATGAAATAAAATACAAGACATTTAGTTGATTCAATTCTATCCTCTAGATTTTTCATATGAGGCAAACTTAGATTAACATTTCAGTATTTTGTCTTTTCAAAATTCCTAGTTATTTGATAAGTTTTTATTAATTAATAAACTCCAAAGTTTTAAGTTGCCAATAACTTTGGAAGCAAACCTGTAGTTATTTAAATGTAAAATTGCCACATTCTTTCCTTAGAGGTTTTGCTGTGGGACAAGCCTCCTTCTTTAACAAGGAGGGAATCCCCACTATCAATATACCTATAATTATAACCCAAAAGCTTCACTACAAATCCTTCATCTTAGTTACATTATTTATCCATGTTTAAGTAATTTTGATATTTTAAAGCTAATTGTTATTATTCAAGGCATTTACTTTGGCAAATTCTGTAACAAAAATAACTTACTGACTGTGAGGAATTCAGTCTATTATTATTCAAAAACTACCCTTTATTATGAAAACATCAATCTTATTGCTAAAACACAGCCTATAATTTTTTTCCTTGGGTCATTTTTGCCATTTTTTTTTTTTTTTTGAGAAAAGTAGGGTTTATTCTATAACATTTGCAGAGAAATTGAGCTCAGTTTAAGAAGCCATCCAAGATTGAATGGAGCGCACTTTTCTTTTAAACCGGCCTTTTTCTTTTTATGAGTACAGAAATCCCAAACATCTCCCTTGAATTCTGCTAAATTTTATCTCTTCCTTCCTTTGTCTCCTAGAACATCCTTGGCCACTTGTACTACTCATATTCTTTCTTACCACCCCCACATCCTGTTTGCTTTGGGGAAATTCAGTAAATGGTCTGGCTATATTTCTTACCAAATTAAATTAAAATCATGCTTAATAAACTAACAATAAACACATTAAAACAAAATAAAAATTACAGAAAAAAACTACATTCAACAGATAACATATAGACAAGACTTAATAAATCAAAGTTCTTTTCCTGAATCTTTTCAGATGTTTTATATTTGCCTGGTACTTACAGCCAGGATGTAACCTAGATCTCAGCTTATTGTTCACAGATCTTATCTTATCCTGCTTTTCACAGCATTGATTGGCCTCTAAAGTTATTTTAGCTAAACTCTGCCTGTCCCAATGGGTCATATGGTAATTTTTAAACAAAGCATCAGAGGGTCCCTGCAAGAGTGTTAACAGCTCTACCCTTCTAGTTGCTCAGTCTCTCCACATCTGAGGCTGAGGATCTGGGGTCTTTTTTAGTTTTAAAGACTTTTGATCCCCAATACAAATTAGATATTTTGCAATTTGAACAAGACCCCATATAGTTAAAGATGACAACAGCACTCTTTTACCTTGAGCTTGATTTAAGAATAACTTTTGACATTTTAAGTTCTTTTGCCTTTTAATCAAATTCTTCCCCATTATGGCCTAGCTTGAAAAAGACGTCCTTACTCTCTTTGGATCTTGAATTCCAAAGCTGGTACGAGCTTTATGCACAGTGAATTTCTACATCAGATTTTCAGTGACCCCCACCTTTACCAGTAATCCTCACCTTTACCAGTGGTCCTCGTCCTTCATTCAGGCAAATAATCTTCTTCTCCAGATGTCTTTCATTGAGGCACCATAAATGCTGCATTCTCCTAGCAGCAAAGGTTCAGGAATATGGAGAAGGGCTGTGCATAAATGAATAGAGCCTAGACAAGAAATATAAATTTGGGAGACATTTTGGGGGATCCAGATGGAAAAGCTCTAGTTACTAAGATCCCTGAATTTTCAGATCCACAGCTTTTTATTAACATGTTTTCCCTTTAGCAAAGCAGATATAAATATCAAAGGTAAGGTTTGGTAAACAATAAAGTACCATCAGATTAGAAGAATTGCCCTCAGCTGTTTTGCAGCGGTCCTATAATATGAAGGTCTTCAGCCCTGCTGAAGTTGTCCATCAGCCTTCTGAGGAACACCTCACATTTCTTATGCTAATTACTGTACTTAACTCCAGCATTCTGGGTTCAATTATGGTCAAGGGTACATGCCTGGGTTGCAGGCTCGATCCCCAGTAAGGGGTGTGTAGGAGGCAGACAATGATTTTCTCTCATCATTGATGTTTCTCTCTCCTTCTCCCTTCCTCTCTGAAATCAATAAAAACATATATTTTTTTTAAATGAGCAATGGATCTGAATAGACACTTCTCTAGAGTGGACATACAGAGGGCCAATATACATGAAAAAATGCTCAAGGTCTTTAGAGGAACATAAATTAAACCACAATGAGGTATCACCTCACATTTGCCAGATTGATTAAAGCAAACAGCAAGTGATGGCAAGGATGTAGAGAAAAGAGAATCCTATTTTACTGCTATTGGGAAAGCAGACTAATTTAACTACTTTGGAAAAACAGTATGGGGTTTCTTCAAAAAATGAAAAATGGAACTGCCTTTTGACTTAGCAGTCCCACTTCTGGGTATTTATCCTAAGAATCTCAAAACACCAATCAAAAAGATTATATGACCCCTATGTTTGTAGCAACTTTATTTACAACTATAGGCCCAGTGCACGGATTCTCTCAGCCCAACATCCCCCAAGGGGTCCTGGATTGCAAGAAGGTGTTTCTCGGGTAATGCACTCTGGAATCGGACTCCCTCCTTTCTGGTTCTGGGTGCATTACCCAATAACTGCAGCTGCCAAGTCTGCACAGCTCAGCAGCTCCTGTGTTGAGCGTCTGTGCCCTGGTGGTATGGTCATTGCGCATGATAGCTTCTGGTCCGATGGTCAAACTGTGGGACAGTTATTTAGGCTTTTATATATATACAAATATTTCCAGAAAACAAATTGCCTATAAATATGTATAACATTATAAGGTTATGCCAATTAAAACTTTAATCTTTCCCTAATTGGTTTGGCTTAGTGGATAGAGCATCAGCCTGTGGGCTGAAGGGTTCTAGATTTGATTCTGGTCAAGGGCATGTACCTTGGTTGCAGGCACATCCCAAGTAGGGAGTGTGCAGGAGGCAGCTGATTGATGTTTCTCTCTCATCAATGTTTTTACTCTCTACCCCTCTCCCTTCCTCTCTGTAAAAAATCAAAAAAAGTTTAATCTTGACCATTTTTATTTTATTTTATTTTATTTTATTTTATTTTATTTTATTTTATTTTATTTTATTTTATTTTATTTTATTTTATTTTATTTTATTTTATTCTTTAGGAGAAAAATGACCTGAAGCGTGCTGGATTCATGCTTCAAGAAGCAGATAAACTGGGCTGCAGACAGTTTGTTACTCCTGCAGATGTGGTTTCAGGCAATCCTAAACTTAATTTAGCTTTTGTAGCTAATCTATTTAATACATACCCATGCCTACACAAGCCTGAAAATAATGACATCGATATGAATTTATTGGAAGGTATGTTCTTTATGCCTTTAATGGATTCGTTGTACGTATCTTCCTGTGGTATTGACCTATTTCACTCTCAGAGGTAGGAGAGTGTGGTGGGAGATATAGTTTACTGTTTATAAGCATGTGTATACATTAAAAAGTTAAAATTAAAAAAAGTGGTTGTTGGTTTTGGTTAAAAGAACGTGTGGGGTAAAACTTATTGTCTGTCATTTCTCTATAGATGTTAGTGAAAACTATCATATATTAAAAATATTTCTTAAATGACCACATAACATAACTCCACCATGAATATGGACATTGAATTATCTATTGGAAAAATAATTATTTGTAGCTTGTTTTCTCTGTTGAAAGCTACAGTTTGATTACAGTTTTGTTCTCTTTTTAATGTTTTTACTGTACATGAAAAAGTTTACATCATTCATTACTTGTCTTGTGTGTGGGCTATTGTTATCTGTCTCATAATTAATATTACTTTCCTGTTTTGCTTCATGAAATGCAGATTTGACCCCTCCTAATGTAGGTACTGTATTTAGTACTTTCCTATATTCTCTATATATGAATTCTGAATGTTCTTTTTATTAATACAATTAATTCTTTCTATCTGGGTTGATATTTATTTTTTTGCATTGTTCATGCTGTGGTTTTTTTTTTTTCAGTCTTAATATGCCTAAAGAGTGAATGATAATAAGCAAGAAACACAAATGAAGCTTAATTTGAATAGCAGAGCAAGGGTTGGTTATGTAAATTTCACCTAATTTGCCCTCTATAATGATGGGAGTATAGTTGTAAGCACGTTAGAAATCAATATTGTCAATTGGATTTCATGATTTGATGCAAAGCCTTTATCTCTCTCCTATAAATAAACATCTTGTATCACAAGTAATTTTTGAAAGGATCTATTTAGATTCTGTAACAGATTATTTTGTATTATTTAGTTATGTTTCATTTACTGAATGTCATTGAAGCTTATAATATATGAATTGTCATAATGACAAATATATTCTCAATATCTTGTTCTTTTTCATCTTCTGTTTTCTAGCCTCTCTTCTTTTCTTCTCCCATTTTTACCCTCTCACTCATGCATACCAAAACCCACCTTAGTACCAACTAAAAGTAAAAAAGTGGTGGCAATTGTCTGAAGGACCAACCCTAAAATATTCCCATAGTTGACCTCTTTTGGAGAAGGTAGGGATTCTTGGTGGAGAGAATTAGATGATTCAGTGTTCATTCACTAACAGCACCGTTACTTCCTTCTCCCTTCCTAAGACAGAAGGAGAGAGAAATCAGTTTCATGATTTTTTTCTCTTTGATTGTCAAAACCAGAGTTCCCATGTCTTTGTCACTTTATAATTAAAGTTGTTTTAATTAATGGGAGAAGTTTCAGAGTTAACAAATATATTATTTGAAGAATATGATTAATTGAATTCACTCTTCCTGAGGCCCAGTAAAATAAAATGACTATCTTCTCTACTTACATAACTAAGAGGGAAGATAGATTAAACTATAGAATTTTCAGCAGAGAAATACATAATAAATTAGAATTTCAAAAAGTTAAATAAAAAGGAAGACTGCTAAGTTTTTATGAGTTTAGAAAATTTCAAAATTCCTTTGTGTCTTACATTAGAAGGCATTGTTTAGAGTGGCATATTAAAAATGATCTGCTTCTTATAGTCACCAAATTCTTGCTAGATATCTTTTCCAATTTGCTTGTTCTCCTATTTGTAATGTTTGAATTCTTTTGCTAGTGTTCAGCATGTTTTTCGAATTTTTCAGTGTGAATCAGATTGCTAAATATTTCCATTAGTATCCTATATAATAAAAGGCTAATATGCAAATCAACCAAACAGCAGAACGACTTGTCACTATGATGTTCACTGGCCACCAAGGGGCAGATGATCAACACAGGAGCTTCCCCCTGGTGGACAGTGCACTCCTGCAGAGGGAGCACTGCTCAGCCAGAAGCCTGGCTCTCTGCTGCACGCCTTTCCCACCTCCACAGCAGCACTAAGGATGTCCAAGTGACGGCCTTGGTGGGGAGAGAGACTAAGCCATCAATCAGACATCCCTCAAGGGCTCCCGGACTGCGAGAGAGTGCAGGCCGGGCTGAGGAGGACACTCCCCCCCCGCTCCCCCAAGGGCATGAATTTTGTGCACCAGGCCTCTAGTTTACTATATAAGAAGATACCATGGGAAATATTTATCAATAAGCTTTATTTAGAACATACGTATGTCCTGATACGTCTGCCAAAATGTATTTGACTTTACTGTCATTGGAATTTTTTCTCTGTAAATTTGTGTTTATAGATCCTTATGAAGTTTGAAGCTTGACCTTATCACATCCCATATTCATATATTAGTATGTTCTCATTGGCAAAGAATTTTATCTATATAGAATTAAAATAATTAAAAGGCAACTAAATATTAAATCTTCATATTAAATTGTGCCAAATACATTTGCTGTGTATAGAGAGACCATATCAGAACTCATTTATAGTAATAGAAAATATGTACAGCCACAGAATTATACTTTATTCAATCATAGTTCCACCATTAGACATCTGAGTGATCTCTGTGAGTCTTGGTTTTCTCACATATAAAACAAGACCAGTAATACTTATTGTGAAGAATCACATAATTAAAAATGACTTTTCATGAAAGAATTTAGCAAACAGTATGAACTCGGTAATAGTCAGATAGAGAGAGAAAGAAACCACTTATACCACTTGTGAGTGTTAAATATGCCAATTCCTTTTCCTCTCACTAGCCTATTTTTAATATATTTGTTATTTTTCATGAAAATTCAATTGTAGATGTTAGTTTGAGAATGAAAATGAGAAGAATGTTTTATAGCTTTTTTATATCTTTTCTATCAGCAATTAAGATTTTACTTTTGAGATTGCTTTAGTCATTTATAATCTGGAATACATATGTTTTTGTAATGTTTACTATGGCTCTTTCACAAATGCATATAGCACTGCTGGCTTTGAGCATTTATTTACCAAGACAACTTGAAATGGTATTAGATAAATAAGTGCTCTCTTAAAAATCTATTTTACTTTCCAGGTATCAAAAATTAAAATAATAACGATATAATTAGTTGGGAATAATAGGAAGAAATGTGAACCTCTGAAACTTAAACTTTCAGTCAAGATACAAGCTTAGTGTCTTTTTAAATAGAATACACTAAATTACCAGGTTCAGCAGAATTTAGATATTATTCTAATTAAAAATTAAACAATTGCTGGGTTGCGGCACATCCACGGTCGGTGGTGTGCAGGAGGCAGCTGGTCGATGTCTCTCTCTCATCGATGTTTCTAACTCTCTATCCCTTTCCCTTCCTCTCTGTAAAAAATTAATAAAATATATTTAAAAATAAATAAATAAAGCCGAGACCGGTTTGGCTCAATGGATAGAGCGTCGGCTTGGGGACTGAAGGGACCCGGGTTCGATTCTGGTCAAGGGCATGTACCTTGGTTGCGGACATATCCCCAGTGGGGGATGTGCAAGAAGCAGCTGATCGATGACTCTCTCTCATCGATGTTTCTAGCTCTCTATCTCTCTCCCTTCCTCTCTGTACAAAATCAATAAAATATATTTAAAAAAATAATAATAAATAAATAAATAAATAAATAAAAATAAACAATTGGTACACTACTAATGTTTTTTATTTTAAAGATAACTTGGATTTTCAGAGGTGGAAATAATATAAAAATTATCTAATTACTAGAAAAATACTTATATACAGATAAATAACAGATTGTAATAGAGAAAAAACTAAAAGGTAAACCCAAGTCACATGCATCAAGCTATTAATTATATGTTTGTATTTATGTTACTTTGGGGAAAATTCAGATATTTAATTTTCACCTGTTTAATAACTCCTATAAAATAAGGCAAGCATAATTTCTAGACATATTTAGATTAACTTGGATCTTTTTTAAAAAAAAAAAGGTACTCATATAGGTTATAATGGCTCATAAAGTTGTAGTGGCAGATCCAACAGAATAATCAGTTACCTTTTATGCATACAAAATTTTAGACAACAAATTATATGGTTACATAATTTAATAGAATAAGAATTCAAATAGACTCTGGGAAAGCTGTTAGGTAATGGCATTGAAAACCACATGAAAGTACAGCAGGAAGATTATTTTCTGAACAGTTGGCACAAAAAACAGATTGCTTTAGACTTTACAAGGTTTTTATTTCTCCTCTGGGTATGCAGTTTTTTTACTGTCTGTGTTACTTAGTCTGAAGATGACTGCAGGGCTGGCTCTATAGAAATTGGCTCCTAGAGCACACTCAGATGGTTGTAGTCCTGGGAATCTCACCTGAGACAAAGTCTAGAGAGTGCCTTGAACTTATCTCTGGTATAGAAGTGATGTGAGGCGTACTATAAATGTTTCGTTTTTCAGGAGTCTGGTGGTGAGGTGCAGGTCAGACTATTCCACTGTCTTCCTAACTTTGCTGAAAGACAAACAATAATTTTCAAGTCACTGAGGATCATTTTCATTAAGGGGATGACTAGAAGGCAAAAATGATCAAGAGGGCACACTTCTCTCTCTGCGCCCTTTGTGTCACATGATATCCCACGTTTTCTTTATAAATGATATAAACACTGCTGTGAAAGGAATGATCAGGTAATTTAGGTAATCATAGATTAAATAATAATGCCTGCAGGAGTTTCTTCTCAAGGTGATCTTTGAGATCTAGGGACTTACTATGAGGAAATGTTTCATTCTCTTAGCACCCTGTGTGGGGCTGTATCCCTTAAGTATTTTTTATAGAACAGTTTAAATTCAAGAAGCCTGTAAAGCAGTTACATCCTCCTCATTGGTTGTTTTTATATGACCTGTAATCCCATCTCCTTTGTTGCTATCTGGTGTAATTAAAATGTAGGTTTGTATGTTCAGCAACTTTTCTATGTAGAATGCTATTTGTACAGATGTAGTAATACAGCTTTGGAAACAGTATAACTTTCCTATTTCTGTTTAATGTGCTGATATTATCCTGGCTGCTAAAATATTTTCATTTCTTATTTTTAGCCAATCACATTGCATGTAGTTCTAACAATGGATATGACCACACGTCTGTCATTTATTTGTTACTTTTTTGGACAGAGAAACCCACAGCTCAGTAATTTACAGACATCAATAAAAAATACTAGATGTAAAATTTTAGAGCAAATAGAGGCTGTCTAGACAGAGAGAGCAAAGGGACTTTGGCAATGAGTTTTGTTTTTTTTTGCCTAAAAATTTTGAAGTGTCATAGGAACCATGGCAAAGTATGTACTTTGCCAGTTTATATGTGCCTGAGGATTTAAAATGTGGTTCTTGATTCCTTTTGTCCTGAATCATCAGTGTGAACTTGTGTCTACTCTAGGAGAGAGCAAGGAAGAAAGGACATTTCGAAACTGGATGAATTCCTTGGGGGTAAACCCTTACATTAATCATTTGTACAGGTAAACATTTTTCTGTGTTTCAGCTTTATGTTGAGGGTCCAACTTTTCTAGTTTCAAGCTCTAGGTATGTTAACATGAGAGCATTTATAAAAATCACAAGAATTTTAGCCAATGTTTAGAGTTCCAGAATGCTGGGAATTGACAAAGAAATGGATTTTAAAATAAAAGTATAGTATTTTTTAAAAGATAATATAATTCTACCTAATAAAAGAGTAATATGCAAATTAACCATCACTCCACTACACACACAGCCACGCCCACCAGCCAATCAGAGCAAGTATGCAAATACACCCAACCAAGATCTTTACCAGAAGGGAGGCTTGGGTTTCTCTGGCAACAGAGGAAGCCAAGCTTTCCACACACTTAAGGACACAAAGTTTCAATTGTTTCAATTGTAGAAGGTAAATAAATTCATATACCAGGGCCTCTGCTTGAGTCAACAGGGTGCGTGGCTGGTCTGAAAACCATCATAGGCCCCTTACCCTGGCTGCCCCACGCCCCAAGAGAACCCCATTCTTATCCAGGACACCCTCAGGGTAAACCCGCTGGTCCCCACCTATGCATCAGGCCTCTATCCTATCTAATAAAAGAGTAATATGCAGATTGACCATCACTCCAACACACAAGATCAAGATAGTTGCCTCTATGTGGTCAAAGATCCTGCCCCCATGTGGACACAAGATGGCCACCATAAGATGGCCAGCAAGGGAGAGCAGGTGGGAGAGACCAGTCCTGCAGGGAAGGGCAGTTAGGAGTGACCAGGCTGGAGAGGAGGGAAGTTGGGGGCAAACAGGCTGGCAGGGGAGCAGTTAGACACAAATCAGGCTGGCATGGGAGTGGTTAGGGAGTGATCAGGCTGGCAGGCAGAAGTGGTTAGGGGCAATCAGGAGGGCAGGCAGGTGAGCAGTTGGGAGCCAGCAGTCCTGGATTGTGAGAAGGATGTCCAACTGCCCATTAGACCTGATCCCGGTGGTGGGATTGGGCCTAAATGGGCAGTTGGACATCCCTCAAGGGGTCCCAGATTGGAGAGGGTGCAAGATGGGCAAATTTCGTGCACGGGCCGCTAGTACTAGTTATAATTTTGTTGTTGTTAATTCTCACTTGAGGATATTTTTCCATTGATTTTTTTTAGAGGGAAGGAAAGACAGAGAAACATTGGTATGAGGGAAACACATTGATTAGTTGCCTCCTGTACGTGCCCTGACCAGGGCCCGGGCTGCAGAGGAGTATTTGCCCTTGATTGGAATCAACCCCAAGACCCTTTGGTCGGTTGATGCTCTGTACACTGAGCCCAACCAGCTATGGCTTTATATTTACTTTTTGATTAAAATAGAAATACATGCTCATTGTAAAAACAAAATAAAATATCAAACCTTAAATTACTAAAATAAAAAATAGAAGTCTCATCCTACCTACCAGTTTGGTATTCATTTCTTCAGACTTTTAAAAATTCATATACAAATATGTATAACTAAATTTAAAAAAAATTTAGAATAATCACAGGATATTTTTCTTCATTGATTTTTAGAAATAGTGGAAGGAAGAGTGGAAGAGAAGGAGGGGGAGGAAAAGAAGAGAGAGAGAGAGAGAGAGAGAGAGAGAGAGAGAGAGAGAGAGAAATATCGATGTGAGAGAACACATCAGTTAGTTGTCTCCCACACACACCCTGACTGGGATTGGGGATCAAAACTGCAACCCAGATTTGTGCCCTTGACCAGGAATTGAACCAGAGACCTTCAGTAGGCCAATGCTCTAACCATAGGCTAGACCTATTATTCTTTTCTCTTAATTATATACTATAGACATTCCTTCAAATATCCATAAAGATCTAGCTGCTCCTCCCTTCCAGTATTTGAGACCTTCACTGCCCTGCTACTATTATTAGGAGTTCATGTCTAAATGGCTTATATCTTGTAATTTAACTGAATTTACATGCACTTAAGAGTTCATCAAATGTGAGTATCACATCAAATTCATTACCATAATAAGGCACTACTGGTTTTAGATTTTAAATAGTATTTTGAATATATACCAAGAAGCAGAATTACTCCATCATAAATCCTCAGCCAGTGATCTTGGTATTTTTGGCATTAATCTCCAGTTCAGAATCCTATGTAATAAAATCCTAATATGCAAATTGACCAAATGGCAGAATGACTGGTGGCAATGACATGCACTGACCACTAGGGGGCAGAAGCTCAACCCTGGTGGTCAGTGTGCTCCTATGAGGACACCACTCAGCCAGAAGCCAGCAGTACTGTAACAGAGAGAAAAGATGGGAGAAGTAAACAGTTACTTTCCTTTCAAGACTCTCTCTGGGATTTGTGTTTATGCCAACCTGTGAGGTCTACTCACTCCTCTACCAGAGGGATGATCAGTAACTACAAGCTTCCCACCCACAATGCATTCATGTCACATGCTCTACCTTCTATGGTGAGGACACGCAGAGTGGGCCCAACTTGGATGGACATAATCATGACAAGTGGCTGCACCCAGCCAATGACTCAAATGTGACAGGATGATTCTCTATAATTTCCCTCGCTCTGGTCTCCTATAGACTGTCACCGCTACAGTTTCTGGTCTGGAATGGTTTGGAATGAACATCCCTTTGATCTGCTGCTGACAGTGCAGTAGTTCTTCTTGGGCAAAGTTACATCTTTCCTTATTGCAGTGGAGCACCACCTGCTTAATGCGCATCTGCTGAAAAGCTAACCCCAATGCCTACTATACTGATAAATTTGTGCCCAGAAATTATACCAAACACCACTAAACTCCTAGCTTGACAATGGGTAGTAGCAACTACCCATACATATGTGTTCTCAGGAGTGACATTAAAGGGGGAAAAACCCAACCATTATGGGCACAGTGCACACCTATATACACACATACACACACACATTCACACACATATACACACAGATGCACACACAAACATTCTGCCAACAAGCAGCTATCCCACTAAGGCACACCATCCATGCCACTTTGTCCCCAGAATGCATGTATCACCTCCCTTAAAGATAAAGGAAGACTGTTTCCTGCTATAAAGGAGAGCTGTGTGTGTTTGTGTAACATATTTTTATATATATAAAGGCTGATCAACCAGTTGACAGCAATGGTAATAACAGCACTTAAAATTATTTATCAAAGCAACTCATTTTTCCCAGACAGTGCCAAGTTTTTAAAGTGAGTTATTGAAGAGAGACCAAGGGTATACACCAAGCATGTCAAACTCGAGGCCAGTGGTCCACATGTCTTGGGTTTCAGTTTCTCTATTTGCAAAATATGAATAATAATAATACCATACTACATAGAAATAAGAACGACTTCATTTAAAGTTAAAAGGAAAAATCATGACATAGGTGAGATTCCAGGAGATATACAAATAACTTTAATGATTTCGATTACAAAATTCTCCGTGTAATAATAGATAACCTAGTCAACTCTAATACCTTCATAATAAACTCCTTCCATTGCTCAGCACAGGGCCAACCCCTTTTATGGGCATTGTGTGTGTGCTCACAGATGCAAAGTAACTATTAGGAATCTTAGCTAAACATATCTCAGCGAACAGCTATTGAGAGAGAAAGGCCACATTACACATCAAAGACCTAGCAAGTTTAAGATCAATTGCTGTTTTGTGTGTGTGTGTGTGTGTGTGTGTGTTCTTAGCATACAGAATTGGAAACAAACTTGATGAATATACTTTGAGCATCTGAGGAGAACATGTTTTTCTTTTTTTTAATTTTCTTTATTATTATTATTATTTTTTAATTACATTTTTATTGTTCATATTATTAGAAATGTTCCTTTTCCCCCCCCATTGCTCTCCTCCACCAGGTTCCCACCCCACCCTCTGCCCTTTCCCCACCCCCCATTGTCCTCATCCATAGGTGCACAGTTTATGTTCAGTCTCTCTCCACAAACCCCCCCTCCCCTTTTCCCCAAGAATCGTCAGTTCATTCCCCTTCCATACCTCTGATTCTATTATATTCAACAGTTAATATTGTTCATCAGATTTTTTTTTAATTTCCTTGGTTTTTAGATTCACTTGTTGATAGTTACGTATTTGTTGTTCATAATTTTTACCTTTATCTTCTTCCTCTTCTGAAAGAACCCCCTTCAGCAATTCATATAATTCTGGTTTGGTGGTGATAAACTCCTTTAGCTTTTTTTTTTTAATTATTATTAGTGAAGCTCTTTATCTGACCTTCAATTCTGAGTGATAGCTTTGCTGGATAATTATCTTTGGCTGTAGGTTCTTACTATTCATCACCTTGAATATTTCTTGCCATTCCCATCTGGCCTGCATGGTTTCTGTTGAGAAATCAGCTGACAATTGTATAGGTGTTCCTTTATAGGTAACTACCTGCTTTTCTCTTGCTGCTTTTAATATTCTCTCTTTGTCTTTTGCTCTTGGAATTTTAATTATGATGTGTCTTAGTGTGGTCCTCTTTGGATTCCTTTTTGTTTTGGAGTTCTGTGTGCTTCCTGGACTTGTAGGTCTAATTCTTTCACCAGGTGGGGGAAGTTTTCTGTCACTATTTCTTCCAGTATGTTTTTGATATCTTGCTCTCTCTCATCTTCTGAGACCCCCATAATTCTGATGTTGGTTTGCTTGAAGTTGTCCCCAAGGTTTCTTACATTATCTTCAATTTTCTGGATTCTCTTGTCTTCTTGCTTCTGTGGAGGAGTGTCTTCTGGTTCTTTATGTTCCAAATCTTTGACTTGATTCTTGTGGTCTTCCATTCTGTTTTTAGGACTCTGTATATATTTTTTATTTCAGACAATGTATTCTTGTTGATCCCTTATCATTTCTTGTTGATTCCTTATTAATTCTAGTTGATCCCTTTTCATATCCTCATAGGTCTTATCGATCTTTTCTAGGAAATTCTTGAAAAACCTTATAAGCGTAGATTTGAACACTATATCCAGTCGCTTTTTGTCCTCCATTTCTTTCGTTTGTGATCTATTTCATCTCGGCATTTTCGCAGCTTCCCTGATGGGGTGGGGTTTCAGGGTGGAGCCTACAGCTTTGGCTTTCATCAGCCCCGCCCCATGCGGCTCCTGAGTCTCAAGGTCCTTCAGTACTCGTTGCAAGCGCCTCTGAGAGAAAGGTGCCCTCGATTTTTGCCTGCTACCAAACAGTCTAGGTTCTCCCCCAATGAGCCCTGTATTGGGGTTCAGTTCAGTTGGAAGTGGAGTTGTTGGTGGCATTCAGAGCAGTCTGGAGCTTTTGTCTCCTTCCCGCCAGGGCAATCCCATGGCACAGCCAACCTTCCCTTCTCTGCAAGTAATGTGCGCGCCTCCAGGACCTCCTTTCGCCACTCCCCCGGGGTTCCGCCTTATAGCCCAGCTCCCTCTGTGTGAGCCTGGGTCCCCGGGGTCTGGCCTAGAACTGGAGTTCAGAGCAGTCAGAACTGGGACCCAGCACAGTCAGAGCTTTTATCTCCTTCCTGCTAGGGAACACCAACCAGGCACTCAGCCGCCCCCTCCTCTCCTGCTCTGTCCTCTCCTCGCACGTGCCGTTTGTCTCCGTACTTTAGACTTTTACAGATCCTCCGCTCTTCCTTCTGGTTTTCTCCTTGCTTCTCATTGTAGAATTTCCAGTCAATCGACTTTCCTGTAGTTCTGGGTAATGTTCCTTTTATATTTTAGTTGTATTTTATTGAAATTGTTGTGTGCGGCTGCAGCTAGGTGTTTACCTATGTAGCCATCTTGGATTCTCCTAGAACATGTTTTTATGAATTCAAAGTAGTACTATTCTTCAGTAACTCATACTTGCTCATAAGTTCCTTCCTTTTTTTTTTTTTTTTTTTAAATCCCCATCTGAGGACATGCTTTTTCATTTATTTTAGAGGGAGGAAAGAAGAGAGAAATATGGATGTGAGATAGAAACATTGATCCACTGCCTCCTGCATGTGCCCTGACCAGGAATTGAACTTGCCACCTTTTGGTATATGGTATAATGTTCCAATCAACTGAGTAGTACTTCCCAGGGCAAATTCCTTCATTTTAACCCTTATTATTTAACACAGAGACCTGCTGCATGGATTCGTGCACTGGTGGGGTCCCTCGGCCTGGCCTGTGGGGATGGGGCTAAATCCCTGAAACGGACAGTCTGATATCCCTCAAGGGGTGCCGGATTGTGAGAGGGAGCAGGCCAGGCCAGATTAATCAGTCTGTTCATGTTTCCATGCCTATGGTTTCCATGCCTGAGTTAAGCATTTGCCTCCTGGTGGTCAATGCATGTCATAGCTACTAGCTGGTCTGCCAGCTAGTCACTTAGACTTTTATTTATATATATATATATATATATATATATATATATATATATATATATATGTGTGTGTGTGTGTGTGTGTGTGTGTGTGTATATGAATAACTGTCTACTCAGTAGCTATTGTGATTTTTCTATAATTATTTTTTAAAGTTTTAAAAATCATAATAAATAAGCAACATATAGACTCCAATCCCACTGTACAAGTTTCAGGAAATATGTAGAATAAAACAAAACCTGATCATCTGTCCCTTACCTTTTCCATATCCTTTCTTTCCTGCCCATAGATAATCACTTTAAACAGTCAATAGTACATATAAATATTTAAATAAATGTTTAAAATAAATTTAATAACTAATAAAGTATGCAGTGTTCTGTCACTTGCTTTTTTAATGTAATATGTCTTGTAAAGCTTTTCATGTGAGTACATAGAAATCTACCTTATTATGTCTTAATGGTAGCCCAGGAATCTATGGTATGAATAGTTTATTCAACAGCCCTCTATAGCTAGTATTAAATTTGTTTCTAAATGTATAAATGCTTTGGCAATAAATGTCCTCATATATATTATGTTTGTAAACATTAATGAAAAAATTTTGGACAGATTTCTAGATTAGAAGTTCTGGGTCAAATGATGTAACCCGTTGTTCTTTAAGCATTAATTGAGCCTGTTTTGTTTTTAAAGACATAAGCCCATCTTCAGTGTGCTTAATAAAACTAGGTAGTACCAGCATTTCCTTCTCTTTCATATTATTTTCCTCCTATTTTAGTGATCTTGCAGATGCTCTAGTGATCTTCCAGCTCTATGAAATGACCCGTGTGCCAGTCAACTGGAGCCGTGTCAACAAGCCTCCATACCCTGCCCTTGGAGGGAACATGAAGAAGGTGAATGAAATAATGATAATAGATATGTTTTTATTGTTCTGATATAAAACAGAGGATTTCAAGTTTTTCAAAGCTTGTAAAGTATGATCTATTCCCACAGTTTGATTCAAACCAAATGTGTGAAGCTGAAAAGAATTTTCACAAGGGTGCTTTAATAAGTGTTTGGAAAGATGAAAGCAGTTTTCCCCATGCAGAGACATCTTATAGATAATTTGTCTTTAACAAGTTATAGTGCTTAATGTTCTTTGAGAGCAATCATAAATGCGTTTCTATTTTATAATTACCAGAACTTGCCAAATCTTAACTGATTTGTGGTGAAATTTTTCAACATATATTTATTGAATACTTGTACAGGGCAATGCAAGATATAAAATAGTGCAAGGCACGGAGTAGGCCCTTAGGAAGCCTTAAGGAAGTTAGGGAGATATGTGCACAAATAATCACGATATGGTACAATCTACACAAAGATGAGTGGTATGATTTCTGAGGAATAAAAGATTACAGGCTGCACAAGTCATGTGAGCGTTCATGCAGAAGGTAGTTTTTGAGTTATTCTTCGAAGAATGGACAGAATTTGTCAGGAGATTGGAGCAGGGGCTGAGTATTAGAAAGAGGAGTAGAAATAGGAAAGTATAAAGTATTTCTGGGCATCTTCTTATAGGTGAGAAGTGGATGTGAACACTAAAAGTTTTGATTGTAGTCAGAGCCTTGAATGTCAGAGTAAAGAGTTGGTATTTTAAATTGTAAGCAGTGGAAAACCATTGAATATTTTTGAGCAGGGCAATAACTTGATTATAGTTGGTAGGAGAATATTCGGCAGATGAATAATAAAGAGAAGTGCTCAGCTCCACTATTCTTCTTCTGCAAATGGGGGATATGTGGGGTCCTTAATCTAAGTTCTTGTTTGTTCTGTTGAAGTACTACTTTAATATTCAGATTTGGTTTTGTTTTTGCTTTTCCTATCTTCTGTACCAGGCTCATTTGCTTTATGACTTTTAAAATTTTTTGTTAGTTTATTTTATTCATTAGATTCCACATAAGAATGAAATCATATGGTACCTGTCTTTCTCTGATTGGCTTATTTTACTTTGCATACTTTCCAAATCCACCCATGCTGTCATAAAGGGTAAGATTGCCTTGAGATTTTTTTGTTTGTTTGTTTTTTGTGTTTTTTATAGCCAATTAGTATTACATTCTCTAAATGTATCATAGTTTTTTATCCACTCATTTACTGATGGGCACCTGGGCAGCTTCCAAATCTTGGATATTGTAAATAACATTGCAATGACCATAAAAGTGCATATATTCCTTTGAATTAGTGTTTTAAATTTCTTTGGGTACATACCCAGAAGTGGGATCACTGGGTCAAATGGCAGTTCCATTTTAACTTTTTTGCAGTAACTACATACTGTTTTCCACAGTGTCTGCACCAGTCTGCATTCCCACCAGCAGTGCACTTTTCTCTACATCCTCACCAGTTCTTGTTTGGTTGATTTGCTTTTAAGATTTTTAAATGTTTGCAATTTCATTTTATTTTATTTTTTCATTTAAAATGGTGTGAACACTATAAATATCTAAAAATAATAAATGGACTCAAATTGCTATAACTTATTAACATGGCTGTTATGAAATTTATCTTCATTCTTATGGTTTAAAAACTATCTCTAGCTGACTAAATGGAAATATAACCATATTCCTGGCTGGAAAGAATAAATATTATAAAGATATTAAATATTTTCAATATAAATTTTAGGTAGAAAATAATTCCAGTTAGAATTCCAAGAATTCTCCTTTTGTATATACATGTGTATTTACACTGAGTGACCAGATTATTATGATCTCTGAACATATAATAATCTGACCACTCAGTGTGTGTGTGTGTGTGTGTGTGTGTGTGTGTGTGTGTTAGAGGCCTGGTGCATGAATTCATGCATAGGTGGCGGTCTGGCCAGCCTGGCGATAGGGAACATGGGTGGTTGGCTGGTCTGCCTGCTCGTCAAACTCCTTGTTGAGAGGACAATTTGTATATTAGCCTTTTATTATATAAGATATTCAGAGTGGCCAGATTATTATGCGTGTGTTGGGGGATGCAATTTATAGTGTAATTCTAAAATTCCTCTAAAGAATAAACAGGCTATAGCATAAAAGAAAATAAAGGTAACTACATAATACTAAAGGGACCGATCCAACAAGAGGATATAACCATGGCAAAATGTGTGTACTTATTATAATACATATTATAAAAATTATAATATATTATAAAAATTATTATATATTATAAAAACTTCTAGAGGACTTTAAGGGAAAGATACACAGCAATACAGTCATAGTAGGGGACTTCAACACCCACTGACTTCACTGGATAGATCTTCTAGACGAAAAATTAACAAGGAAACAGTGACTTCATTTATTTATTTTTTTGTCTTTTTTTTAAAAATTGAAACAGTGACTTTAAATGACACACTAGATCACAATGATTTGATTGATATTTATAGAACATCTCATGGCAAAGCTGCAGAATATACATTATTCTCAAGTGCATAAATGTCATTTCAAAGATAGGCCACATATTAAAATACAAAATAAGTCTCTACAAGTTCAAGAAGATTGAATAACAAAAAGCAGATCAGATCACAATGGAATGAAATGAGAAATCAACTACAGTAAAAAAACTCAAAAACATTCAAACATATGGAAGCTAAATAACATGTTATTAAACAATGAATGGGTTACCACTGAGATCAAGAAAGAAAAAGAAAACTTCCTGGAAATAAATGAAAACAAACACACAACAACCCCAAATTTCTGGGACAGAGCAAACCAGTCCTGAGAGGGAAATTCATAGCACTATTGGCCTACTTAAAAAAACAAGAAAAATTATTAACAAACTGTTTAACCCTACAACTTAAGAAATTAGAGAACAATAAGAAAAAAAAAACAGATTAAGTAGAGGGAAGGAAGTAAAGTTTATATATAAATTATATAGAAACTAAAAAAATCAATGTAATGAAGAGTTTGTTCTTTGCGAAGATAAATAAGATTGATGAACTATTAGCCTTATTCCTCAAGAAAAAAGAGGATGCAAATAAAATCAGAAATAAAAGCAGTGAAATAACAGCTGACAACACAGAATACAAAGGATTGTAAGAAAATACTATGAACAGCCATATGCGAAAAAGCTGGACAATGTGGATGAAATGGATTAATATCTAAAAAATAAATACAGGGTATGAGAGGAAGAGAAACCAAGATGGTGGCATAGGGTAGACACCTGAATGCAGCCTACCACAACAAATTTGAATTTAGAACTGAAAAACACGGGAAACATTGCCCCTGAGGCACCGGATGGCTGGCTAAGAGGAGGCTCTGCCATCTGGGAAGGAGACAGAAGGCACGCTGAACCTCAGGAACTGTAAAGAGCGCGATGAGGAGAGGGAGCCGCCGCCGCCGCCTCAGCTGCTGCTGCTGAGCACCAACAAGGAGCCGGGCGACAGGGCCCCTGGGGGAGAGGTGCCGCTGGGCCTGCGACCACTTACCGTGGGCCACGGAGCCAAAGCCGGGGCTGCTTTCCAGGTGGTGCCCACCCCGGCAACAGGCTGAAGACGCGCATGAGGCCGCAGAGAACAAAGGGACACCGCGGGCCAGCCTGCTGAGCTTCCAGGATGAGGAGGAAGAAACCGAAGAAGTTTTCAATGTGAAGAAGTGAAGTTATAACAAAAAGATAGTAAAATTACTTAAGAAAGAATACAAAGAGGATCTTGAAAAATTGAAGATTAAGACAGAACTCAACTCATCAGCCAACATTGCAACATAAATGCATTTAAAAAAAAAAGACAGAATGTTGGAGTGGTGGCGGCCAGGCCCAGAGAGGCCAGGCCCAGGGCAATGGCATCCAGGCCTGGAGCAGACAGGGCTGAGCAGCAGCAGCTAGGCCCAGAGCAACCAGGCCTGGAGCAGCCAGGCCTGGGGCAGTGGCAGCCAGGCCTGAGGCAGTGGTAGCCAGGCATAGGGCGGCAGCATATAGGCCTAAGGTGGCCAGGCCCTGGGTGGCCAGGCCTGGAGCAGCCAGACCAAGAGCAGCTGGGCCTGGGGCAGCAGTAGCCAGGCGTCAACCAGTAGCAGCCGGTCCCGGAACAACCAGACCTGGAGGAGCCGGGCCCGGAGCAGCCAGACCCGGAGCAGCGGAAGGCGATCTTGGAGCAGCAGCAGCCGGGCCCGGGGCAGCCAGGCCTTGAGCAGCCAGGCCTGGAACAGCTAGGTTGGGAGCAGCCAGGCCCGGAGCAGCAGCAGCAAGGTCCGGAGCAGCTGGGCCCGGGGCAGCCAGGTCGAGAACAGCCAGGTCAGGAGCAGCCAGGCCCATAGCAGCATCAGCCAGGTCAGGAGGAGCCACGCCCATAGCAGCAGTGGCCAGGCCCGGAGCGGCCGGGCCCAGAGCAGCTGGGCTCGGAACAGCCAGGTCGGGAACAGTCAGGCCCGGAGCAACAGCAGCCGGGCCCGGAGCAGCCAGGTCGGGAGCAGCCAGGCCCTGAGTAGCCAGGCCCAGAGCAGTCAGGCACAGAGCAGCGGGGCCGGGAGCAGCTGTGCCTGAAACAGCTCGCTCCTCGCCTGCCCATACCCCAGGGCTGCTTCTCAGACATGACAGGAAACTTTTGGGGGAACTTGAGGGTCTGCTGAATCAAGTGATGAAGGCTTAGATCTGGATGTGTTGAGTTGTTGTAGTGCCAGGGTGTTGATCTGTGAGTGCCTTGTGTGGGGTCTGGATGAGGTTGGTTGATCTATTTGGATGTGTCTTTTGTTTGAAGTGTATCCTTGGGAATGTGGAGGTATTATTGATATGAAAAAATGCTAAGTAACTGATTTGCTACCTGAAAAATTTAAAGTTCTGAAAGTTTAAGGTCTCTTGCCAAAAAGAGGTTTTAAAGCTAACACCTTGCCTGCTGCTCTGGCTGTGGCTTCCGGGTGTGGACAAAATCAAGATGCCAAGTGTATAAGTGTGGAGA